TGAACCTGATGCTGACATATTTACTGTAATTTTCATTTTCTCAATGCCTTTTGTGCTATACAAAAACTGTAATTGTTAATTACGCTTTTCAGCTTTTGCTGTGTTGTGTATCAGTTTGTTTTGCTTTGCCTGGGAGAACCATGATAAAAGCACTTGAGCCTGATGTGGCACTTTTGAGCCCTCCACTGCTGCTATCTGGGTACTCAGAGAACCACCTCCTGCAGAAAATCAGCAATTACACCTTCTTCCTTTTTGCCTTGGAGAGATGCTTTGTGGCACCTACCCCTTTTTGTCCCCCAGGATAGGTCTTCCCTTGTAATGGCCTCTCAGTTCCTTGAATATCCTTGTGTAAGCAGACTATTCATACTTGGGTGTGTTGTGAGCCTGATTTTGATTATTGTTAATAAGTTAAACAACTAATTACACACGGAATGTCACAGGAATGTGCTCAGAGGCAGTCAATGCCTGCATGGCAGGGTGTGTGTGAGGAGCTGGACAGGTGCCTGGCACTGTTCCTGCCTCCAGTAGCTTGGGATTTCACACCTGAACAGGCTTCTAATCCCAGGTAGTTGGTAAACCATTTGAAGGAGGGGACAGGGCCTTGCCTGTCCCTGTGAAACACAGTAAGTTCTAAAGCTGTGCTGGGTTCTGCCCCATGCCTACTGAGCTGCCATCCACTGTCCTCAAATGAGAAAGAGAGCCTCCTGATCAAGGAGCACACAAAGGGACATACGAAGTCTCCAGCTGTGTAGCCACCCTTCTGGAGACTGAAAAGGTTATTCAGTCTAAGGGCACACACAGTGGTGTAACCAGAGACCTACTCCTCAGGTATTATTATTATTATTATTATTTGCTCTTGTAGTCAAAAAGAAATGGTGGAAACTTGAATAGTAAGGGAAGCAACAACTCCAAGTCAGGGACAGAAGGATGAAGAATAAGACGGGGCAGCCTGACCTGCAGCAAGACAAGGGAGGAAAGAGACAGGAATGATAAGAAAACTATTTAGTCCCCATCCCTGGATGACCTGTGAGATAAGAAGCAAGTATTAATCCATTAGCAAGGTGAGCACTTTGCTGCGTGGGTGCTCCAGTGCTAGGAAGGTAGTGAAGCCCAGCATCTGAGGCCCATCACGAGGGACTATGGGATTAACAAAGGGGTCAGAAGAGAGCCAGCCACCTGCAAGCTTCTGGAGGTGGCTCTTAGCTGCATCAAGGCAAAGCATCTCTTCCAAGAAGGTATTGTAAAACAGCAAGACAAGTGGTCTAATAAAGAATGTATCCAGTGTCTGAGGGAGTTAATAGTGATGGAGCTGGTCTACAGCAGCCTGGCCAATAATCATGCTTCCAGAGATCTGGATGACATCCGGTGCTTAACGTCCCTGTGGCAGAATTTTCTACAGAGCTTGAGAATATTGTATATCACCACCCTGGCCATGATAGACTGGGCAGATGCTGAGGCACCAACTGTGCATAGATCAGCCCACCAGCTATGGTACTTCAAAGAAAATCTTTATTCCCCCTCCCCACTGACTCTGCATCTCAGCTGTTAAGAACTGCCTCACCAGGACAAGACCCACACTGAGCCCTGTGGCTCCCTGTCGGGGAAATGCACCTGGGTCTCCCACATGGCATGTGATGATGATCCCTACAATAGTAACAAGGACTAGTCTGTCATAAATCTGTAGTCAGCCTTTCCAGCTGATCGTTTAATTGCTAAAGATTAATTTGTACACAATTTTGTGGGAGACAGAGGCTGTCATTTGTGGCGGGAGTCAAAACAAACATGGTGATAAGCTCTTTGGCCACATACATAGAGAATGTTGTAAACTTCTTGAACACATCTTTTAGAAATGTTATATTCTGTGTCTGTAGCATATCTGAAGTTATATACAATAGCTACATAGATGGCTTTAAATTACTGCAGAAAAGAAAGATGTATGTATTGTTGGAGGAAATTTTTGATGTCATGGGCTCATAGTGTCTATTCCATGAAGAGCTGATGAGGAGACTAACGTGGAACTCCTATACTGATGCTTTTTTTCTGTAAGGTCTTGGTGCTGGATGCTGCAGTCTTTAAGATTAATGGCCAGAACAGTTCTCTAACCAGACCTACAGAATGTAAATATGCAACATCAGGGAAGCATTGGCACAAAGCCTTCAACTTAGACAGGAGCTGTGTCATGTGAAACACACTAAGGGACATGTCCTGATATGCAGGGTTTGCACAGATGACAGCATATCTTATTTGCTGCTGCATTACACTCATAGACATCTGGAATTTCTTACTCTAGTAATAGAAGGATACACTGGAATAGGCTGCCCAGGGAGGTGGTTGAGTCACCATCCTTGGATGTGTTTAAGGGTCATTTGGATGTGGTGTTGGTGGATGTGGTTTAGGGGAGAACTTTGTAGAGAAGAGGTGATGGTTGGACTCAGTGATCCCAAGGGTCTTTTCTAACCTGAATAGTTCTGTGATTCTATGATTCTATTTGGGTACATGCAACTGTATAGAGACTACACAACCCTTCAGACCCCAAGATTAGACTTGAAGCTGTACTTCTTGCTAAAGGCTTTGTTTAATGCTTTTTTTTTCTCCAGTCTTTCTGTTTCTGTTTGTTTATTTGTGTGTGGTTTAAGGCTCACTGAACCTGTTATAGAATAGGTAGACTTCTGTTCTACCTTCCACTCTATATCATTGTTTTGTGGCAGGACTGGCTGACAAACCCTGTTGTGGACTGTGGCACAATGTACTGTTGAAAATTATGGATGTCCCTTTGTCTTTGCATTAATAGCAGCAGCGAAAAGGTTACTTGAGAGGATAGTATGAGTAGGGGTTGGCAGTCATGTGAAGCACTCTGTCCAAAACACCTTGTTTTAAGAGGGAAGAGAGAGAACTCATTAGGTTGTTAGAGGGGAAGGACTGCAGCTTTTTCATGAGCCAGCTGGAACTCCTGTCTGGTTTTCCTTCAGAGATCCCAGATGCTCTCTTATTTGCCTGTAAGAAAACTGGCAGGTAGATCACTCAAAAGTTAAATACTTTAATTCTGTTCAATGTTTTCTTCTTTAGATTCAGGTTGTGAGCACTCTGCTTTTAAGGGGGAGTTTGGCTTATTGTATTTATTTGGTGTCATTAATTCCAGAGACAGGAAACCCCCCTACATCTGGCAGCTGATCTTGGCAATGTGGAGCTGGTGGAAGTGCTGCTGAAGGCAGGTTGTGATCTCAAGACCGTCGACAAGGTAGATAGCAAGGATCTTACCTGTGCAAGGATCGTGTTGTTTCATTTTTTATTTTATAACCTTCCCAGAGATGCAGGAAGTTCTTGTCTCCAGTCATCTTTCCTATGTAAAGTTAACTGTTTGTTGTTACAAAGGAAGTCTGCTTTTAGTATTGACTTACCTGCAGCCTGCAGAGATTTGAAATGGTTTCAGTGAAGAGCTAGTTTTGAGTTCAAATGTGATGAAAGCCAGTGGGGTGAAAAATGTGAAACTTCCAATCTCCGTATTTTGAAGGGTAAACCCCACTGCCAGAGACCTTTGATGGAAGAAAGTTCTAGGCTTGTGAGTGAAAAACAGCCAGTGGCTGTTGTAGCTGTGCACCTTCAGCCAGGGTCTTTGCCAGGAGAAGCAGAGGTGGTGCCATTCTTCACTAACTGCAGTGCTGGTAAGTCTGCCCTCCAGCACTCTGGGCATTCAGAAAGGCTGGTGCCATGTCCCTGGGAAGCCATCCCAGATCTGTTCAGGTGGGTGCTTAGGCTCTGTTGCTGATGCTCAGCCTATAAAGACTGAGGCAAAAATGGCAATGGCTGAAAGAAATACCAAAGCAAAGAGTCTCTGGGGAAGGCTTTTGAAAGGACAGAGTACCACATCCCGTTTTCACAAGTTTTGCTAAATCACTGCAAGATTGACCCCGCTGCTACCAGTATATTTTTTTATGCATGGCTGAATTGACAACTTTGATGTTTATCATGAGCAAAATGTAGCTCTTCAGTTATTAAAAAAAAGTATTTTCCATGCATACACCTATCCTGATGAGGAGTAAAGCTTCATAGAACAAGGATCATCTTATTTTTCCCTAGCCTGATGTGATGCTTGGGGCTTTGAGTACAGGTGACACTGTTGGTGTATTTTGGGAGGCTGAGGTGGATTGCAGTTAAGCCTTCTCATTTGGAGTCTTTCCTACACTAGCCAAAGAGCTGCAGTTCTCATATGGGCTAACCAAGAATGAAGCCTTGTCCACTTTTGATAGCACCTTAGCTGTTGCAAAATTGTCTCTGCCTATTTGCATTCCAAGAGCAAACACAGAAAATTACTTATTGTGGCCTGTTTTGCCTTAACAACACCCAGACCTATGGGTTGGATAGTGCCTTTGTGTTATCTGACTTGAGATTTCAGGGCATGTTACATCTCTGAGCCAGCACCTTTCTGCATTTGTTTTATTTCTTGGAGTAGTTTTTCCCTTGTCTGTTTGCTGGATGACCTCTGAGGCCATGCTACTGCTGGGAACACTTGCAAGTACAGCCCTCTTTGAACTGAACTGGTGCTAAGATGCCAAAAATTTCCTGTCCTTTCAGCATGAGGAATAGGCAGGATAAAATGGTGCCTGATCTGACTGCACAGTGTTTTCCTGGACTCCATCGCAGGGCAGCAAAGGCCCTTGGTCTTCAGAGCTTGTAATGTAACTGCTTAAGTTGCAAGCTGTGACAGCCCAGGAAACACTCCCTCAGGAGTTCCTTCTTCCTCCCATCTGCACATGTAACTGGGGTTGGTTGTGACTGAGAGTGCAGAGTGCTCCCTGTGTGCAAGACTCCCATGCTGCCTCTGCATGCAGGATGCTAATGGTGTCTGCACGAACACAGGAGGCCAGAAATAAGCCCTTTTTCTAACCCCCTGCCTCCCTGCAAAATGCAGAGCAGCTTTGCAGAGGTGGGATCCAGAAGCTCTCGTGGTCTCTGGACTCTTTGCATATAAAGTATGTGTATGCTGTAAAGAGTTTATGAAATGTAAATTCCTTGGCTTCAAATGTGATCGTTTTCTAAAAATGGGCTAATTATAATAATCTGGAGCAGATGCAGGAGCTAGAACTCAAAAGGTATGTATTGAGGGAACTTTATAATAACTGGAGAGTTGAAATGCCTTATAATTTAATTGCTGAACCTTCTAATTAAACAGTTGTCTTCTTTTAGGTCTAGTTTTCTAGAATGTCTAGCAATTGTTGTGTGGAGAATACCCTGAGTATTTAAATGTGTGGCAGTTCCACTCAGTGTAAATCTGCTGAAATGGACAATTGCAGAAAGAACCCTGTAGAGAGGTTGAGATGCCTTAACATCAAATTGCTGGTAGCAGAGATGGGTTCAGATTGACTGAGCAGTTCTCTGCAGCTGGAATTAAAAAAATGGCTTTTCACTCCTTTGACTGCCTGTACTGTTCATGGAACATCACCTTCAGTTGTCATGAGAAAGTAATTCCTGCATCCTCTTTTCATTCTGTGAGTCAGTGTCTCTTACCATCCAAAACAAGAGACAGGTTTGCCATGAAAGTTGGAGGTTCCCAGCTCTGCCATCCTATCCATCTGAAATGATGGTTTAACCATAACAGGGAGATGAAGTATGCAGACATCTGAGAAGTTTCTGAAGGCAGCTGTGCCTCACCAGGGAAAACAGACCACTTCTGAGCTGAGGGGATACAGCTCAAGCAGAGGATAGAAGAACTTCAATCGCAGCTACCCTGAATCCATAAAATTGTAGTAGATATGGTTCTTGAAAAAAGGATGGGACTCTGTAAATGAAGCTTCAGTGTTTTTTCTATGGTATACTTGTCCTCATATAGATGAGATAGTGTTCTAATTCACTACCTTTGCTTTCAGCATGGAAAAACTGCACTAGCTGTTGCATCGAGGAGCAGTCACGCCCTCATTGTAGATATGATCATTAAAGCAGAAAGGTATTATGCCATGAAACAGGTAAGAGACATCTTTCATTACAGTGAGAAGAACTAGAAGGAAAAAGATGATTGATATATATATTTTGAAGTGCCTTTTGCCTGAGTTGCTTCTTTACTCATCCATGTTTTATCCCTGACTAGTTGTAAAATTGTAGGCAGATCTTTTTGTTTTCCTGCGCAATGATCTGCACACAAAGAGGTGGAGAGAGATTCTGACCCAAATTCAAACTGTGCTGTCAGCATCAGGGTTGGGACAACATCCACATTCATCCCTCTGTCCTTTGGTACAGTGAAATCGGTGGTTGAAAATGGAGGAGTGCATGTAAATGTCACACTTCTTTGCTAGTAAAGGCTCAGCTGCTTTGGCAAGAGCTCCCTCTTCTGTTTTACATGTGTCAACTATAAAACAGGGTCAGTGAAACGGGAAAGAACCAGGCAAGAAATGTGAAGGACACAGCTTAGATTGACCTTGGATTGCCTAAATTTCTAAAC